CAAAGCCTTCTCTATTTCACTAATAAGAGCAAACCTTCCATGGATTTCTTGTAATTTGTGTTCAAACCCGGTGTCATGAGCAAGATCATTCAAGTTCTAAATCAGCTATAACAACCCTTCACTTGGTTCTCTTGTAATTTGTTTTCACACCTAGGATTCATATTGGCAATTAAAAAGTAGCAGCACCATTCAAAAATCTGTTGATATTTTGGTGTTGCATTTTAATCCACTTGAAGTCCTCAGTTGACCTTGTGCGAGAAAGAAAAAGAAAGTCCTTAAATAAATACACAAAATTTAAGTTTGAACATTTATACCTTATGCAATATTGAGTAAGGAAAGCAACACCACTAAGAAAAAATGAATTAAAATTTTTTTTTTCTTTTTTCTTTCCTTAACAAATTCAAAATTCAAATACAATACAAATGAAATTACAAGTAATGCATCTGTCTTATTCAATCATTCAATTTCTTTTCCATTGAGGCATACTCGCAATTTCAATTCAGATTCGTATTCAGATTATTATTATTTTTAATTTTATTCTATACAACTAGGAATACAAGAGCTTTTAACATTCTTATTCTGAAATTACAATGGAAAAGATAGGATTCCATATTCCTTACTCTCAATACCCTAATGTTAGATATAAGCAGAAATTCCATTTATATTTTTATATTTTTACATTGATTTACAATTCTCCCAAAAATTTTGAACACGACAAAAATTTATCCATTCAATTTTATTCTTATACAAATTTTCAAGCTAAGACAAATGATAGATCCTTTTTTTTTTTTCTTTTTTTTTTCAATGGGTTTAAGTGGACACAATTTATCTATCATGACTTATGGATAGATTTGAACTATTGACAAGGTTTCATCAACCATTCCTTACTTTAGGAAATCTGTACACGTGTTCGAGACATAGACAAATCAAAGTTGTTTGTGGATCTAATGAAAGCATCAAATACCCACAACTTCTAGCTTCTAGTAAGATGTTGACACTATTTAGATAACTCCGGGAGAGTGAAAGCAGTTTTTGACCGTTTATCAGGTCACCAACAATTTTCAGACCATGTTTACACAAGAAATAATTTGGTGAAAGTATGAAGTTGATAGCTATTTCATTATTTTGTGGTGAATTTAGGATAATAATAATCCTCATATGCGGTACATAAAAGAGATGACAAGGATAATGAAAACATGCTTGTTCATAACTTCTTGGTATAATAGGTTGGAAATGGTAGAAAAAATTCTGGGTAAAATCAGAATTTTTTCTCAAGTTTGGTCTATTTTTTAGGTGGGCCTCGAGTGTCGATTTACTCGGGTCAAAGTGGTAACGCGTTCTATGCCGCGTTATGATTCACGTGGTATATTTGGTTGCTCGAAACCATTACCGAGTGAATGGAAAATTGAAGCCAAAGTGTGCTCCATGGAAATGGAGTTTTGGTGGAAATTCCTTAAGGTTGTAAATTGGCTTGTCCCACATTGATTTGGTGGGAAGTTTTGAAAGGGTTTATAAGGCTTAGGGTGAGATACTTGGGATGTGCCCCAAGGGGTACCCAAGTGTTTTAGAGGGAGAGGTTATGGGCAAAATGGGCTAGACCCATTGGACCCAAAAATCACCACACACGCACCGCTGTCCGTCCGGTCAGTTGGGTTTTTAATTTTTTTGGGCCAAAAACATTTGAATTTAATTTAATTTTTTATTAAAATAAAATCCAGAATTCAAATTAAATTGTTTTGGATTTTTTGTTCATCCAAACAGGGCCCTTCCCGTTTTCAAACATAATTAAACGGATTTGGATTTGGATTTATTGCTCATCCAAACAGAGCCCTTCCCGTTTTCAAACAGAATTAAACTGATTTGGATTTATTGCTCATCCAAACAGAGCCCTTCCCGTTTTGAAAAAATGAATTAAAATTTTTTTTTTCTTTTTTCTTTCCTTAACAAATTCAAAATTCAAATACAATACAAATGAAATTACAAGTAATGCATCTGTCTTATTCAATCATTCAATTTCTTTTCCATTGAGGCATACTCGCAATTTCAATTCAGATTCGTATTCAGATTATTATTATTTTTAATTTTATTCTATACAACTAGGAATACAAGAGCTTTTAACATTCTTATTCTGAAATTACAATGGAAAAGATAGGATTCCATATTCCTTACTCTCAATACCCTAATGTTAGATATAAGCAGAAATTCCATTTATATTTTTATATTTTTACATTGATTTACAATTCTCCCAAAAATTTTGAACACGACAAAAATTTATCCATTCAATTTTATTCTTATACAAATTTTCAAGCTAAGACAAATGATAGATCCTTTTTTTTTTTTCTTTTTTTTTTCAATGGGTTTAAGTGGACACAATTTATCTATCATGACTTATGGATAGATTTGAACTATTGACAAGGTTTCATCAACCATTCCTTACTTTAGGAAATCTGTACACGTGTTCGAGACATAGACAAATCAAAGTTGTTTGTGGATCTAATGAAAGCATCAAATACCCACAACTTCTAGCTTCTAGTAAGATGTTGACACTATTTAGATTACTCTGGGAGAGTGAAAGAAGTTTTTGACCGTTTATCAGGTCACCAACAATTTTCAGACCATGTTTACACGAGAAATAATTTGGTGAAAGTATGAAGTTGATAGCTATTTCATTATTTTGTGGCGAATTTAGGATAATAATAATCCTCATATGCGGTACATAAAAGAGATGACAAGGATAATGAAAAATACTTGTTCATAACTTCTTGGTATAATATGTTCAAAATATGAAAATAATATTTTTTAAAATCATAATAGGATTGCGTATACTTTATTATTTTGAAACTTTACTTTAATAGGAATCTTATGCAACAATGGATTGAATTATTCTTTTTTATATAAGAGAGAAAAAGAGAAAAGGGGAAGAGAGGAGAATAATTTTTTAAGATAATTGTTCCAATTTGAACTAACCTTATACATTCAGTTACTTTATTTTTTAATTTTATATTTTTTGTGATAAAAAGAAGAGAGTAAAGAGAACCAATGATTGATTTGATTGTTGAGGCATTAAATTCATTTCTTTTACTAAGTTTGATGTCTAAATTCATATCTTATTATTGCAAATGTAGTTGCTCCTTTCTTCTTTCCTTCATTCTCTTCACACACACACACACACACACAAACACACACAAAAAAAAAGGGTTGACAAATTCAATTGCAACTGATTTTTGGTATGGGTGTTTGGACTTTGAAGTAATGGGCAGGGCATTTTTTTATTAGCAATCAAATGAGACCTAGAAACAAAAAGAAGTTCATAACTCTCTTGTTTGTATACTTTTTAGGCCCATTTGATTCTAAATTAAGCAACTCCATTGAAACCCAACCAAAATTAAGCCTAACCTAACAACTATCTAGCTATAGCAAGTTCTAATGATTGGTTTAAGTTTGATTTTAAAAGAATATCTCAACCTAAATTAAGGTATGATCATCAATTCATCCAAAGAGATGATGAATTTTAGCCCTGGTTTGGCTATCATTTTAGGACTAAAAAAATACAAAATGACAAAATAAGTTTAATAAACTAATAAGACAAAATATCACATCTAACCCGTAATCATTATATTTTTTCTTTTATAAAAGTTAAAAAAGTCAAAAAATCCAAACCAAATGAAACTAAAAAAGTCAGACTAAAAAGTTTCAATACAAAAATATTGACTATATTAACCAATGTCAAACGAAACTTTAATTCTGAGTAGTTAGAGAAATATAATTTTATTATTCATATTCTTAACATTTCCATTTTATATGTAGTTAGAGAATAATAATTTTATTATTTAAATTCCTAACACATTTGTGTTACCTTAATGAAATTATAATAAAATACTTTTAGACCACATTATTGTTATTATATTTTGTATAAATTAACATTTTTATTAATTACTCTTATGGTCATATTACCTAGATGATAATACCTTTTTAAGTTTTACTAACTCAAAATGAGTTGAAAGTTCTAAACCAAAGTTGATGGGACGATGAGATTGGGGTTAAATTAGTTTAAATTTGATCCAACCCAACAAATGTTGCAACCCTAGCTACTAGCTAGTGTCAACCTTGGAGTCACTCTCAATTGTAGGGAAAAATTTGAATTGGGAGTTGTGCAGCCGTAATTGTTAACTTTTGATGAATAGTGTTAACTTTTTAACTTTTTGAATAACTTTTTGACTTTTTAACTTTTTTGGATCTTTTCAAACTTGGCCTTACTAACTCAAAATGGGTTGAAAATTCTAAACCAAAGTTGATGGGACGATGAGATTGAAATTAGTTTAAATTTGATCCAACCCAACAAATGTTGCAACCCTAGCTACTAGCTAGTGTCAACCTTGGAGTCACTCTCAATTGCAGTTTCAAATCCAATCATAATAAAATATGAGCATACCCTAAATAGCCCCCTAAAAAGTTGATTTTTTTTTTTTCCTGCATTTTTATGTCTCTAGTTAAGTTACTTTAATTTTTTTATTTTTTATTTTTTATTTTTGCATCCTTCTACACTACACGAACCTACAAAAACAAAACAAACTAATTCTTTTTACTAAAGACAAATATTTAGAAAATATATATATATATATATATAGTTGCCTAAATATGCTTGGAACCTCTAATTAGAGGTGTCACTAGTGATGTGACAGTAATCAATGTCAATACTGTGTCTGTTTGCTTGTTTTTGTTTTTGTTTTGTTTTTTTTTTTTGTCTTTTTCACTTCATTAAAAGTGTGTTTAGAACTTCTAAATTAGAGGTTTCTAGCATCACTGTATAGTTGTCAAACATAACATTAGATTCATAAGGTCTTATTTGGAAAAGTAAATTTTTAGTCCAAAAAAAATTAATATAAAGTTATCAAATATTCTGTTTATTTTTTGCACTTTTTTTTTTAATAATACAAAATTTAAAAATTACAAAAAAAAAAAATTATAATCCAAACAAATTCTTAAAAAATCTTATAATTTCTATTTTTAAAAAACAACTAAACCATTTCTCACGAAACCACGTCTCCTTCGCTTTGGATCGCCGGACGTCGCGACGGCGGCGAGTTTTTCCTAGGGTTCCGGCGAGTTAGGGTTTGAATGGCCTCTGAAGATGTGGTAGCGAAGACAAGCGAGACTGCGGTGTCGACGATCGTCAATCTGGCTGAGGAAGCGAAGATTGCTAGAGAAGGAGTCAAGGCTCCGAGTCACGCGCTCTTAAGCATCTGCAAGTCTCTCGTCGCCGGCGGTGTCGCCGGAGGAGTGTCAGTTCTTACTCTACTCTTTCCGAATTTTTGTCGTTTTCAATTTCACCGTAATGTAGTCGAACATGTATTTCGATCGCTACTAGTTCTGCTTATTGAATCGTTCGTTTTTATCAATTTGAATAGTTTGCTATCTTTTCGATGTTGTTATTGTTGATTTGAGACTTGTTTGAATGATAGATGGTCTGTGTTATTTACAGAATAGGCTTAAAATTGTGCATATACACAATACATATACGTTGTATTGATAGTTAGGTGTTGGGAAAGTGTAATCTTCACTTATAAACTGTTATATATATATATATATTATTCATGTATATTTAGTCTGAGGAACCTGTTAATTTAAGCGTTACACTCTCATAGTATTTACTTATTTATAATCATGTATATCTTCAGTTTGTGTTTGTTACTTTGTTTCCCTCATTATTGTCTCGGCTGTTGCAAGCACTGTAGCAAAAATTTCGAAGGTGCTAGCTACTTTTTTTTTTGATATTCGAGTAGATTTTAGCCTTTGTTGGAACACCAGGTTCATAGCCACATGTTTTACTTTATTTATTAAAGACTTACAGGGATGAGTTTGTGCAATGCAGGCATGAAATTAGGTACTTAATAGATTCGGTTATTTGTTGCATTTTTCTGGATTAAAAGTACGACTGAGATGAACTCCATCTTTGGCTTCTATCAATCTTAGCAAAAATGCAGAATAGGAGGCCATATATGATTGGTCTATTATATGCAAAATTTTAGGCCGTGGTAGCAGCATTTGTATTTGTTTATTGGGGTTGGATGTCCAAACTCTGACCACTTCTCTATGTTTTAGTGATACCGCAGTCAAGTCAATAACAGTATCAAATAGAAAACTACCTTTTTTTACATTTATATGATCATTGCTAATTCTACAATTTATACCCTTTCATGAATTTGTGCTGCGTAACGCGGGGGGGTAGCTTTCAAAATAGGCCAGCTTGTTACCTATGGTAATATTATATTCACTTCACATCTTCAACTTGATGGCAGAATTATCACACAGTACTTCCTCTATATCGTTATCAAGTTATAACGATTGCTACCGCCTAAAGGGTAGATACATAATTTTTGTTGATAAAATTGCGTAAGTTGGTAAATTTTCATTTCACCTAGTAGTTCTTTACTAAGTCTATCCTATATACTTCATGTTGCAGGTCACGTAGTGCTGTTGCTCCATTAGAACGGTTAAAGATTTTGCTCCAGGTAGAACTTTTGTGTCCAGCTGATTTCATATAGCATGGGTAGAATTTGTGTAGAACCTTTGCATTCACAGCATCATAGATATGCATTATTCCCATTGTTGAGATGCTTTGTTGTATAAAATGTTTTGCTAATGATTTCTATCTGATGGAGTTTGTCAATGCATGCTTTCCTAGCGGTGGTATCAAGGAGAATGTACGAGGAGTTTGAAGTGCACTCCCTTTTCTTTTCTTTTTTTGTGTGTGTTTTGTTTCTAATTTAAAAGTTTGAAGGAATTTTCTTTTTCCTTAATTCTGCTTCTGGTTGCCCAAAGCTGTAGAAAGGAAAGGAAAGGAAAGGAAAATTTGCAATCTTCGCCTGAACCCCAATTCTTTTGGAGCATTATGTCACCTTCCAAATGCTGTGAAAAAAGAGGTTTTGGAGGTTTTGAAGTACTTGGTTATGAAACAATTCTAGTTTAATTAATTAAAAATTAAAACAAAACATTCCTACACCCCACAACCACGTCACCATCCTCGTTACCATTATAATGACTGCAACCATTATTTGAAACCTTGAGTGTAACTTTAGCAAAACTATAAGTATGAAGAGAGAGTGATACTTGAGGAGTACAAGAAAGGTCCTTTTCGATATCTTGGATCAATAATTCATATAAATGGAGAGATTGAAGATTACACGACCCATAGAACTAGTTGGGATGGATGAGATGGAAGAGTGCATCAAGAGTGTTGTGTGATTGTAACATTTCTATTAAGTTAAACAAACTTCTATGGTTATGGTACAGAATTTACTTATAAAAAATGGTGTATGGTATTGAATGTTGGGTGGTTAAGGAAAAATATGTTCAAAAAAGAGTAGTTGAAATGAAAATGTTGAGATGGATGAGCGATGTTACAAAAAAGCTAAAATAAGAAATAAGCCCATTGGCACCAGTCAAAGACAAGACAAAGAAAAAATTATCCAGACCTAACATGTGTGTAAGGTGATAAGTAAGGACTTGACTATCTTAAACTTAACTAAGGATATTACTGCAAATAGAACCAATTGGAGAAAATAGATCCATGCAGCCAATCCCTACTAATTGGGGAAAAAAGGCTTGTTAAGTTGACCATGAAAGTTTCACACTAATAGGAACCAATTTGCATTTTATTTTTATTTTTTTTTGTCTTGGTAAAACTTTTATTGCCAAAGATGATTTTGCCTAACAAAAAATTTTATGATACGTAATCAAAATCAAAATCCCAAGTTCTAAGTTTGGGAATTTAGTTGGACATGAGATTCAGCTATAATAATGTCGGAATTCCCTTTTGTCGCTTTATGTCTAGCACCTTCTTAAGGATTGAATCATTGAACCAGTGACATTGAAGCAAATTCATTGGGGTAATTGCTTGTACCATCACATACTTGAGGCACTAGCAGTCATCAATTTTTTATCATGTTAAAAACAGAATTTCCATAGCATTTGCTAAGAATGCTTCTTGCAAACTCAGAAAGATTCTAGTTTGGATAGTTTATTCTCTGTCATTTGTTGTTGCCTTATTTTATTATTGTACCATGCATTGAAAAAAAATGTTACGCATTTATTTGGTCCTAAAAATGCAGGTTCAAAATCCTCATAGTATAAAATACAATGGAACAGTTCAGGGCTTGAAATATATATGGAGAACTGAGGGTTTTCGAGGATTATTTAAAGGCAATGGCACTAATTGTGCTCGCATTGTTCCAAACTCGGCCGTCAAGTTCTTTAGCTATGAGGAAGCGTCCAAGTATGCTACATTGCTCCCTTTTGTTCTATTTTTGCTGTTTTATTTGTCTCTGTTGTTCCTAATATTTAGAGCTTGATGGCTTGTTTATATGATTTGGTTTGATTATTGCTATAAGATATAGGCTTTGTATTGTTGCATTTTGCAGACATTTGGATTATTTCTGTTTTTACTGTGCTCCCTCCTTGCAATTTTGGTGGAGACCTCCGTGCTGTGGTGCTATTATTCCATTTTGTATATTTGTCTTTTCTCTCTTTTTGAACATTTATGTTTGTCTTTTCTTATTCACTGGTTACTTATTACTTCTCTCCAAAAAATAAATAAATAAACAATTGGGCCTTGTTTGGTTTGTGTTTCTTAAAAAATTTTGAGAAAAATTCTCTACAAATAAGTTTTCAAAAGTAATCAAACCAAACAAATTTTCCCAAAATTTTTTTTCAAAACTTGTTTGGTTTACAAATTTTCCAAACAAATCTCTCTCTCATACATATCAAATCAATCACTTTTCCAAAACTCTCTCTCAAAATAATTTTTCAAAACATCTTTTGAAAAAAAACTAAACCAAACAAATTTTCGTACTTTTTATCTCAAAACATGTTTCTCAAATACAAACCAAACAAGGCCTTGGATTTCTGTTAACCAACTAGGCCTAGCCTAGTTGGTCACCATGTCTTCCTTAAGGCTTAGTCCCAAGAAGGTTATAGGTTCAATTCCTCTTAGGGAAGTTGAATTAAGGGTGTGCAAGTACTTAGTGCTTTGCCAAGGGTAGGGAGATTTTTTCCCATAGGTGCTAATCTAACAACTAACATTTGCCGATCAAAGAAAAAAAACAATTGGAGTTGAAGACATGAAACAGTTATTTCAGAACTTTTTCATATTTCAATCAATTGCATAATGTTCTTGCTTCGACAAACTTAAAGATGGAGAAGGTTTTTTCACTTGTGAAGCACGAGTACAGGTATAAGGACTGGTACTGGTACAATGCGGATATGTCGATATAGTAAAATCTAAAAAAAAGTAGGGTACAGCTTGGGCTTGGTACACTTATAAAAAAATATTTATTTTTAATTTAGAGTAATACAAAAATTAATTAAATGGTTTAATTTATTAAGATCCAACCTATAATTAACATAAAATGCCAAAAGTAAAGGTATGAATCAAAGGGCAAATTACACTAACAGTCCCTATTGTTTGGGACTTATGTCACTTTAGTCTCTGACTTTTCAATTGTGACACATTTGACCCTGAATTTTGTATCTTGTTCCAAATAAGAACAATTGAAGATAACATTATTTAATTTCAAGGGTAAAATTGTCAATTTAATAAAATATAAACTAATTTGACAAAAACAAATGTCAAAAAAATATTTTTAATTTTTTAAAAATTATTTCTATCTACTATAGATAAAATTATGTAAAATTGATCAAAATCAATAAAAATTACATGATTAATTTTACATGATCATCATCCAAATACATAATAAAAATTAATTTGGTAAAAAAAATAAATAAATTTCTAAAAAATTTATCAATTTTACATAATTTTATCTTTAGTGGGTAGAAATAATTTTTAAAAATGCAAAAATATTTTTTTGACATTTATTTTTGTCAAATTAGTTTATATTTTATCAAATTGATGATTTTACCTTTGAAAAATCTAATGATATCTTCAATTGTCCTTAATTGAAACAAGATTCAAAATTCAGGGTCAAATGTGTTACAATTGAAAAATCAAGGACTAAAGTGACACAAGCCCCAAACTATAGGGATTATTAGTGTAATTCACCCTAAATCAAAATTAAATGTCAATATATTAAATAACTTACAAACCATAGTTTAATTTTAAAATCATGCTGAGTATAAAATTAAAAATAAAAAAGAAATTTAATTAAGGGAGTTTCATCTCTGTAGTATAACAAAAATATTATTTCAATTGAGGTACGGTACGGTACGGCTTGGATATATACTAGGTACGCCAAAAATTAAGAAGAAAATTATTTGGGTACGTGTTTCATGTACTTGGTACGTATGCAGAAGTACATACACCCCGTAAGTATCCGATACGGGTACGGCATGTTTTTCAAAGTACCCACGTTTCATAGTTTTTTACTAATGAATCAAAATTCAAAATCATTCCGTTTTGCCTTTCTTTATCAAATTGTTGAATTTCTAAATTATCATAGGGCCCTTATTGACATAATCTGAAGCACCCTTTGCTTTGAAGTGATTCAGCTTTCCACCGTAAGGCAAAAAGGGGATTGATCAGATTCTCTTGCCTCTGACTCATGGTGATCATTTATCTAAGAATGAATACACTTACTAAAGATCTTTACAAACTTTGCATACAAAGTGATGTGGCACCTGACTTGCACTTGCCACATCACCATGTGATTTAAGAGGAAACACATCAGCTTGTAAATTAATTTGTAAATTTTTTAGTTTCTATAGCACTACTCATCGAAGAATGACTCTGGTTAGTAAATCAGGATTCCCTTTTGTAATTGTATATATATATTTGTGTATTGAGCTTCAATATAAAACTAACAGTGGCATGCCTTATGTCATCCACATGTAGCACAAATATCTATCTATTCACCTTTGACCTGCATTACCTTTTGAAGTCTTATTGCACATAATATCTGAATTTGATTATCAAAATATTTTTTTCTTTGTGCTCATGTTTGACATCAAACAGGGGAATTCTATGGTTTTATCGGCAGCAAACTGGAAAGGGTATGACCTGCTCCTATTTTCTGTTCTCAGATTACTCTATTACTCTTTTAACCTTTAACAAAGCTATGATCCCTTTGATATGTTTCCTCATTCTCACATGTACTAAGTACAGATCCGCCACTGGTTTATTGGTTAAGGTCTGGTCAAGGTAGAAAGTGTGATGGATTGTGGTGTGTCTATGGCAGTCATAAGTTCACGAGTGCATGTGTTGATTGTTGGACTAGCTAGTTGATCCAAAGCAATCCAATTTAAATTGTACTAAAGTTGGAAGAAAATTGCTTGTTGCATTTTTTTTTTTCTTTTCGTGTGTACGTGTGTGCAGCGGCCATGTTTTCTAAGAAGTCCACAGCCTATTTTTTTATTTGAAATTGAGTTTTAGTTTATTTCTGAATATGTTTCTACTGTTTGGGATAGTGTTCCATATAATAAATGGACTTCACACTTTGTTCGAAAAGGGCATTTGCCATTTTATGATCTCTAATAATTCATGCAGCTCAAATCCAGTTTCTTGAATGGAGTACTTAGGATAAATGGAGCTCTCACCAAAGTTAATTTCAGGGAACCTCAAAAAATTCAAAATTAAGGCCTCGTTTGGGAAGAGCTGGTTTAGCCAAAAAGTCAAAAAGTTACTAAAAAAGTTAAAAAGCCAACAACTCGTACTAAAAGGTCAAAGATTCTCTTTTCTCTCTACTTTTTGCACATCTTTTCGTAAAAAGCCAAAAAGTCATCCCAAACATACTAGTTTTTTTTAGTTCATATTTTAGCCAAATAGTCAAAAAGTTACTAAATTAGCCTGTTCCCAAACGGGGCCTAAATGCTTGTTAGGAAAAACAGATAGGTCCTGTTAAATGACACCAAAAAATGTGCTCATTTTAAATGCTATCTGAAACACAATGAGTTGATTCATTTCAGTCTCCTTGGGATGTAGGCTCTTTAACTATCAAAATTTTGAAGATTGTTATGAAGAACAATGCTACTAAAACAAGATATGATCTCTTTAAGTGGCATATAAAATGGGACGGGACAATTAGTCTGTGGAATGTGGACTATTTTTGTCTCTGATAAGATGTAATGGTTGTAATTTAGTAGGTAATGGATAAGAAATAGAAGACCAAATGCTGAGCATATGAACACATTCAACTTTTGCAGTTAACTACTAACAATGTTTAAATGAGGTTCACGCATCAGCTCCTATTCGAGTCACTGAATTTGTTTTGTGTTAAATGTTAGGTTTGAATTTAAGCAATGTTGGCATGTAGAATAGGGTTGTTATTTCTCATTGTCATGTCATGCAGAGGATGCTGAACTCACCCCTCCGTTACGCCTTGGAGCTGGAGCATGTGCTGGTATTATTGCCATGTCGGCAACTTACCCAATGGACATGGTACGAGGTCGGCTCACTGTCCAGGTATTGTTTGGAGATATCTTTTGTATATTCAATTTATGCAGTTTTGTCTGCTGTCCTAATTTTGGAATTGATGATTTCACTTTTCATCCCTTTTTCAATTTTTGCAGACAGAGATGTCTCCTCGCCAATATAGAGGAATCTTCCATGCTCTTTCAACAGTTTTTCGTGAAGAAGGCCCTCGCGCTTTATACAGAGGATGGCTTCCTTCTGTAATAGGAGTTGTAAGTTACCCTGTATTGGTTCATTGATTGCTTGTTTATGTTGAAGTCTACAAGCTTATACATATAGATGGTGTTTGGGAAGATTCTGGATGTACGTATAGCCAATCAAGAGAGGGGGGGAAAAGGGTATTAAAAAAACTGTACATGACCATCTCTTTTCTCTCTCTCACTCTCTCTAAAATTTTAGTTAGTGCCTTAGTTCTCTAGCTTAGTGCTGATGATGAACACAGATGGATTGAGTGTTACATAATGAAGGCTGAATGTTGCATAATAGGCTGCACTCTAATTATTCTTTAAAGATGATGAATAAGAATTGGTTTTTCACATATTATTGATCAAGGTTATTGGCTTTTTCTGTTTGTTTTAAATCAAAGATGAATCATTTTCTCATTTCTTTGCCAATAGGCCTAATATATATAATATGATGCCTGTGGATACCATATGTGGGTTTGAACTTTGTTGTATATGAATCTTTAAAAGACTGGTTGATCAAATCTAGACCATTTGGACTAGTTGAAAACACAGAGTTGAGTGTCACAACAAAGCTCGCATGTGGGGCTGCTGCTGGAACTGTTGGCCAGACTGTTGCTTATCCTCTTGATGTTATCCGGCGAAGGATGCAGATGGTGGGCTGGAAAGATGCTGCTTCAGTTGTTACTGGTGATGGGAAGAGCAAGGCACCACTCGAGTATTCGGGTATGGTTGACGCATTCAGAAAAACAGTTCGGCATGAGGGTTTTGGAGCCTTGTACAAGGGTTTGATCCCCAATTTAGTGAAGGTTAGTACTTTCTATTATAATGATCTCCAGATACATCTTCACCCATTGTTTTTGTTCGATTAGGGATGACAACAAGTTGAGCCGAGCCAAGTTTTGCTACTAAAGTTGGAAGAAAATTGCTTGTTGCATTTTTTTTTCCTTTTCGTGTGTGCGTGTGTGTAGCGGCCATGCTTTCTAAAAAGTCCATAGCCTATTTTTTTATTTGAAATTGAGTTTTAGTTTATTTCTGAATATGTTTCTACTGTTTGGGATAGTGTTCCATATAATAAATGGACTTCACACTTCGTTCGAAAAGGGCATTTATTGCCATTTTATAATCTCTAATAATTCATGCAGCTCAAATCCAGTTTCTTGAATGGAGTACTTGGGATAAATGGAGTTCTCACCAAAATGGTTGTGAGGAGAGAGATAAAAGTTTAATTTCAGGGAACCTGAAAAAATTCAAAATTAAATGCTTGTTAGGAAAAACAGATAGGTCCTGTTAAATGACACCAAAAAATGTGCTCATTTTAAATGCTATCTGAAACCCAATGAGTTGATTCATTTCAATCTCCATGGGATGTAGGCTCTTTAACTATCAAAATTTTGAAGATTGTTATGAAGAACAATGCTACTAAAACAAGATATGATCTCTTTAAGTGGCATATAAAATGGGACGGGACAATGAGTCTGTGGAATGTGGACTATTTTTGTCTCTGATAAGATGTAATGGTTGTAATTTAGTAGTTAATGGATAAGAAATAGAAGACCAAATGCTGAGCATATGAACACATTCAACTTTTGCAGTTAACTACTAACAATGTTTAAATGAGGTTCATACATCAGCTCCTCTGAATTTTTTTTCTGTTAAATGTTAGGTTTGAATTTAAGCAATGTTGGCATGTAGAATAGGGTTGTTATTTCTCATTGTCATCTCATGGAGAGGATGCTGAACTCAACCCTCCGTTACGCCTTGGACCTAGAGCATGTGCTGGTATTATTGCCATGTCAGCAACTTACCCAATGGACATGGTACGAGGTCAGCTCACTATCCAGGTTGTAATTTGTTAATTGACAACTGAAATTATTCTATTAAAATTCCCTTTTGGTTTCGTAACTAACATTGCAGTTGTAGTTGTACTGGATCTGTCAAGTGACGAGTTATCAGATAGGTTACTCTAACATATCCGTCAGGGAGTATTGTCCCTTAGCACCTACAGCATATCTGCAGAAACCCCACCGTACCTACGTCGGAGCTGAAACTTAGATGGTGTTTGGGAAGTGAGTTTTTATGTAGATTTTATTAGATGTAGGTTTTTATGAGATAAAAAATTTTTGGTGTTTGGGAAGATAGTTGGGTTTTTATGTGGTTGGATGTGATGTTTGTGAGAGAAAAAGTGAAATGATTATGGGGTTGGATGTGATATTTTGTTTGGATGTGTTTTTTTTGGTTTTGCAAAACTTTTGTCTTTTAGTGGAAAAAATGAGAAAAAAATTTGGGAACTTGCTTCCCAAACACCACCATAGAGTCCTTTTTCTGGGATTCTGGATGTACGTATAGCCAATCAAGAGGGGGGGAAAAGAGTATTAAAAAAACTGTACATGACCATCTCTTTTCTCCCTCTCACTCTCTCTAAAATTTTAGTTAGTGCCTTAGTTCTCTAGCTTAGTGCTGATGATGAACACAGATGGATTGAGTGTTACATAATGAAGGCTGAATGTTGCATAATAGGCTGCACTCTAATTATTCTTTAAAGATGATGAATAAGAATTGGTTTTTCACATATTTTTTATCAAGGTTATCGGCTTTTTCTGTTTGTTTTATATCAAAGATGAATCATTTTCTTATTTCTATGCCAAGAGGCCTAATATATATAATATGATGCCTGTAGATACCATATGTGGGTCTGAACTTTGCTGTGTATGAATCTTTAAAAGACTGGTTGATCAAATCTAGACCATTTGGACTAGTTGAAAACACAGAGTTGAGTGTCACAACAAAGCTCGCATGTGGGGCTGCTGCTGGAACTGTTGGCCAGACTGTTGCTTATCCTCTTGATGTTATCCGGCGAAGGATGCAGATGGTGGGCTGGAAAGATGCTGCTTCAGTTGTTACTGGTGATGGGAAGAGCAAGGCACCACTCGAGTATTCGGGTATGGTTGACGCATTCAGAAAAACAGTTCGGCATGAGGGTTTTGGAGCCTTGTACAAGGGTTTGGTCCCCAATTCAGTGAAGGTTATTACTTTCCATTATAATGATCTCCAGATACATCTTCACCTATTGTTTTTGTTCGATTAGGGCTGCCAACAAGTTGAGCCGAGCCAAGTTTTGCAGAGCTCAAGCTCATCTCCTTTGTCTATCGAGCTCAAAAATGAATCAAACTCAAGCTTGGCTCGGTTCGGCTCATTAATGCTAATCATGCTTGAGCTTGTCTTGAAGCTCGATACTGAAGAAAAGGTTTGGCTCGACAATCAAGCCCGGTCGGCTTTTTTTTGTTGTTTTTTTTGATCAGTAGCATGTTAAATATGCATATATAACAAATTTTATATTATTTAATATATGAACAATATATTTATCCTTTAATTTAGAAAATAAACAAGGAGAGCTTATTCTAGCTCATTTATATACATAATGAACCTAGCTAAGCCAAGCGCCGGAGCAACTTGGTTCATATGCAACCCTAAGTTTGATCAAAGGAGGGTTACATAGGTTCGTTAGTTCTTAAGGCATTCTATAACTGCTAGCCAGGTTGATATGTCTTTCCTTATGAATGAAATTGTTAGATTAATATTTTAATGCGATTGCCTCACTCTTTAGGTGGTACCATCGATAGCAATTGCATTTGTAACATACGAGGTGGTAAAGGACATTCTTGGAGTTGAGATGAGGATATCTGACTGAAATCACAGGGAAGTTCGGGTATTTGTTGGACTTCCATGCAAATTTTTGCAAGACAAAGGAACAGAGAAGATAATCAATGGGCTCCTTTTTCTTTTTTTTCTTTTTTTTCTTTTTTTTCTTTTTTTTTCTTTTTTTTTTTCTGATGATTGTGAGGAAGTTTAGAAACCAATTTCTAGCCCAATGTTGAAATTGTCCAGTCCATATTTCTCCATCTCCTTTTGTTTTTAGGTTTTTCTTGATTCATATATGCACTACCAATAATAAGTTGTCAAGAAGGATAACACTAAACATCCTCTAGTAGTAACTTTCCAGAAATTTTAGCATTATCCTTTGTTAAATAATATTTCTGTATCTGGTTTTTAAATTGAGATTGGTAATTTGGTGTTGTATTTTCTTTATGCTTTTTGTGTGTAAGCTCCCTAGCATAACATGTCTAGCATTGTTTCTATTTCTTTCTAGAAAATTAGTAATGAATATTAGATTAGTTAATAAGTTTGTATAAATATATTAAAATTGTGTTTGGATCATAAATTTAAGTAGGGATTTAGAAAGTGTACTAGATAAGGTGTGAAATATAGTTATATTTTACTCATATATTGTTTTTCCTTTTTAAATCTCTATCCAAAGTTATGATTCAAACACAGTCTAAGAAGATGGTTTAATTTGGACCTTGTACTCATCCGAGCTAATATGGAATGGAGTTGCTTTCGAGCAATTCCAAGTTTTTACTACTGAACTCACCACATATGCTATTTTTGAAGATGACATGTAAGCTTTAAAATGAATTAAACTCGTCCTAGGCTAGTGAAAAGTTTGTTTGTAATTAGCTCATTATGTTTGAACGTTTTTTTGATGATTGTTAATTTTTTGAGTTCGACTCAAACTCAACGTAATAAATTTATATGTATCATAAAACTCTTTTTTTTTAAAAAAATAAAACTATTTTAGCTCAATTTGTGATTATCCTGGTTAAAACTCATCTGAGATTGACTTGAATGTTAAACAAACCAAACTTTTTTTTAAGCTCATTAAGTTTTAATTGTTTGAGAAATTTTAAATAAATTACATTTTATTTCAAATTTTTTTGTTTTTAGTGATTTTTTTTTTAAAATTATGTCATTTTTTTTAATTTTTCTAGTCTACCTTGTTTAGATGAATCTAAAGGTGAAATTATTTTTTACAAAAGTCAAAATAAGGAAACAAATTCACAATTTTTTTTCTTTCTTTTGTGGATATTTTTTTTTTTTTTTTTAAAAAAAATAGTTCATCAAGTAGAATTTGGAAATTTAAATTTTTTTTTAAAAAGGTTCTATGGGTAATTAAATTTATTTATTTTTTTTAAAAAAAAAGGTTCATTAGACACAAAAAAACAAAAAGGAATAAAAAAGTCAAAAAAATAAACTCCAAACCCCACGAAATTGAAATGGTCAACGATAAAGAGAGAGGGAAAGGGACATGAATGATTTACATAATTTTAAAAAAATTTAAGAACAGTGATGAATACAGTCTAAACTTTTAGACATAATTGATGACGAAAACAGTACACAAAAACAGAACTAATTTCCTATACAAAATCTAAACTTGTAAAAGTTCTACCAACAAATGATATTGTCAAAATAAACCAATCAAATATCACAATCAACTACAAAAATCATAATAATAGACATAAATGCAAAAATAAAAAATAAAAATAAAAAATTAGAACACTCTCAAGTTGCTATTGGCCTTCTACCAGATAATACCTTTGAGAGCATTTCCTTGAGATCTTCGCATCGACTCCGGTGATAATCGATCCATATACACAGTTGTCTTATAGCCTCCCTCTTCTCTTCCCCGAGCCCCAATATCCCCTCATCCTTTTCACTCATCGTCTTCTCCAATTCCCCAATTTTCTCTTCAAGCATTTTAAAATTTTTGATCAAATTCTGCTTCTCATCCTCAGTGTTGTGCAACTTTGCTTCCAATTCTCTGATCCTTTCTCTCAAGACCAATTCCTTTTCTTTCTTATCTTGCAGTTGCTCGATCAGGACGCTGAGCTCATCCTTTAGTTGTTGTTTCTCGGTATTTGTCTCATTGACCCAATTCTTTGCAACTTGAAGCTCGTTTAGGATTTCATAAACACGGCTCTCAAAGTGCCCGTAGTCTTCCTCAAACTTGAGCATTACTGTGTCCAGTCCGGTCATGGTGTTGTTGACTTTCTCTGAGATGACTTTAATAATCTTGACTTGAGCTTCCTTGTAAGTTGCAATTGCTCCAGACAACCTAGCAATCCTTTCTTCGAGCAACCTTTGCTCTTGCTGAAACTTCTCTTCTTTCTTCCTGTGGCTCTCTTCGTTCTCCGTCAGTAACTGTTCGGTTACTCGAAGTTTTTGGTTCGATAACCGGAGCTTAACTTCAATCGTGCTGACATTCTCGATCAGCGTGCTCACTTCATCTCCTTTCATTTCCAGATCTCTTTTCAAGTCTTCGATTGTTTCTTCCAATTCATCGACTTTCCTATCTTTCGAGTCAATACTCTTTTGCAACTCTTCTTCCATTTCTTCAATCTTCCTTTCAGCAACTTCGAGGTTTGCCTTGCATTCTTGAAACAAAACTTCGAGTCGTTTGTGCTCTTCTCTTAATTCATTGAAAGCATCCTCCTGTTCTTTTAGCATTCTTTGCTGATCCGCAACCTTGTTTGCTAGCTCGGAATTCTGATTCTCCACTTGAGTCAAGCTTTCTGAAGATTCTTGTTTACATCTCTCAATCTGCAACACCAATTGGCTTTTCGCAGAGTGAATGGAATCCAACTCCTGTTGCAGATTGTTAACCTGCGTTGTTAAGGCCATAATCTGAGCAGACGCTTCATTCCCGACATCCTCAACTTGCTTCTGGAGAGTAAATGACGACTCTTCTTGCTCAACTAATGTCTTCTCCAACTCGGAAATTTTCTCCTGCAGACCCTCCTTTTCTTGTCTCAAGTGATCAATGTCTTGGTTTTTATTTTCCATCTGCTCTTCTAGATCCTTCACCTGCATTGTTAGACTTTGTCTCTCTTCCATCATTCTCTGTCCATCCATGGCCTTGCTTGCTAATTCCTCTTTCAGATTTTCTATCTGAACAAGGAACTGTGTTATTTCTTGAGCCTTGTTCTCAATATGTGACTCTGATTCGGCTTTCTGTGCATGCAAAGAATCCACCTCCATCTTCAGATCATTGACTTGTGCTGTTAAAGTTGTAATTTGAGCCGATGCTTCATCCTCTCCATCTTTGGATTTTTTTTGTAGAGCAGAGAGTTCGTTCTCCAATTCAGAAATTCGATCTTGCAGCCTCTCCTTTTCTGCTAGCATCTGATCAGTCTCTTGGTTTTTACTTCTTAGTTGCTCTTCCAAATCACTATTCTGGTTCTGTAGAGAGTCCAGCTCCCGTTCCAGGTCCTTCACCTGTACCATAAGACCCTCTTTCTCTTCGATCATCTTCCGTTGATCTGCAATATTTTTTTCTGACTCCTCTTCCAGAGTTCCTATCCGAACAATGTATTCTGACATTTCTAGAATTTTCTTCTCCAGTTGAGATTCAAATTCAATTTTCTGGCTATTTAGGGTCTCTAGTTCCTGTTGCTTTTCATTGACCTTGTCCAGTAGGCCCTTGACTTGACCCGATGCTTCATTGCTATCACATACCAATTGTTCTTCCAATTTGCTTTTTTGGGTCTGTAAGGTTTCCACCTCCAGTACCAGTTGCAGATTGTTAATCCATGTCGTCATATCCTCAATTTGAGACAACGAATCTTTCTCCTTCTCCTCAAGTTTCTTCAGAAGACTGGAAAGCTCATCAGCTTTCTGTTTTTCAATCTCTCCTTTCTGGGTATGCAGAGAATCCAGCTCAAGTTCTAAACCCCTCATTCGAGCTGATGTTTCACTCTTATGGGTCTCATGCATCTTGGTGCGACTCGCAAGTTCCTTTTCTCTCTCACCCAATTTCTCCCTCAGCTGGCTAGATTTGGTGACAAGTTCTTGTATTTTGTCTTGTGCCCCATTAATCTCAGTTGAGAGCTCTAAAATTTTAGAGGATAGAGACCTATTTTGTTCTTCGGTAGCTTTCTGTGCCTGGATTAAATTTGCTACTTCCTGTTCTGAACACTCCAGCTGATCCTTTGTTGTACAGAGTATGCCTTTAAGATCTTCAAGTTCTAGCTGCAGTGTTTTTTTCTCATCATTTGACTGATTTGTCACGACTTTCAATTCTTCAGTAATTTTCTCTCCCTCTTTAATCCTGTGCAATGCGGTCTCTTTTTCTACCAATAGATCAGTTCTCTCTCTTGTTATGTCCTCCAATTTCTGATTCAATTCAGCTTCTAGCATACTAGCACCGTCCAGTCTTTGATTCAGGTCCCTAATCTCAAGTAAAAGCTTTGAATTCTCACCATTCAACATTTCAGCTTCCATCTTTAAATCACTGATCATCTTCTCCGCTTCTTGGATTTTGTTCAAAGCCGTCTGATATTCCAAATGTAAAGCTTCCTTCTCTTCTGTAGTTTCTGTCAACTTCCTCTTCAAGTCAGCCACTTCTAGATGTGCACTTTGTAGTTCTTGCTTAATGTCATCTGTCACCTTCTGAAACTCATTTTGTAATTTTCCATTTTTACTGCCCTTTTCCTTAGAAGAATAATCTGAATCAGAGTCTGAGCCGGAGGAAGAAAAAGTATCCTTTTCTTGTTTTCCATGAACTTTTTCCCTTAGCTCTCCTGTTAGATGATCATATCGAGCATAGAGTGATTGGTAATGTTTGTGGAAATCCTCAATTAATTCAACAAGTGGCTCTTTCTTCGATTTTCCCACTGTATTCCCACCTTTTTCATCATCTTCTTCTTTGATAAGGTTCAAGATCTTCTGAACTTTGTCCTCAATCTCTGCAATGAGAAGGAAATTTCTGTTTAATACCGGGCTTCTGCTTTGAGATCCATTGTTTACAGAAAAAAATTGCTGAACATAAAGATGAAGCTATTTCAAAAGGAAATAAATGTCTATATTTGTTCATTCAGATTGAGGATTTTTCTTTTCTGCTTTTTGAGTATCCAAGAAACAATTCGGAATAACTTAACTCAAGCTACAGATCTTATTTAATAAAACAATAAAAGACTATACAGCTACAAATCTTGAAAAATGCCATACATACTTCATCAATTTATTGCAGGTTCACATTAAAATGAAGGATTCAATATTTTTATTTTTTTGGTATGTGTGATGCTAAATCAGTGAATCGCAATCATTGTATAATGTTCAGGGTTTGTGTTTCCTTTTCTATTTCCTGAGAGAAGGATATACCTGTTTTAGTTCCTTTCAGCTCTTCATCTTTTTCAGGATCAACGTGACTTCCAAAAAAGGACTTAATCGATTCCCTCAGCTGATGCTTCCTCATCTTTACGTTGGTTTTGTCAGCAAAATACTCCTTAATTCAGCGTCAGGATGAGGCAATGTCATGGACTCCAACCCTAAGAGCAATTGAGAATACTAAACACAGTAAAGCATAGCCCACACATAAACAGACCAGTTCGGAATTTCAAATTCACAGGATGAACCAAAATCTAGAATGGCAGAAGAGCTTAAAACTTGCATTGACTTGTAATGTTTAGCTCAGACACTGAGGCATACAGTCAATGTTTTAGTTGACCATGTCTTTAACCTTGGTTTTTCCAAACATTGATGTCCGTCACTTCAGTGCACCCAATATTGATGAACTTAGGGCATTTCAATGATAATACATAATATTTTCTGGTACAAACTTCTAAAACTGTATTTCCCAATTTGAAAAAGATTGTAATAGTTACCTCACTTGCTAACTCATTTAAAGGCTTTTAGGAAGAAATTAGAAAGAACTTAACTCTCAAGTTCAAATAGGCAGGATATTAGAAGCAAAACCAATTTCTTATTATTACCAAAAAAAACAAAAAAGAGTAAATAATAAATTTTACTCAAAACCATGTGATTTTGCGATATTAGAAGCAAAACCAATTTCTTATTATTACCAAAAAAAAAAATGAGTAAATAATAAATTTTACTCAAAGCCATGTGATTTTGCGATATTAGATCAAGCATGAGATTTTGAAATTAAAACTTTTCATCATACTAAAATCAGAGCCCCCACCCACCCAAGTGAGTCGAAAGAAACATGTGATTTTGCTATCTTAGATCCTCAATTATATTGGTCTGGCCCGCGAAAATTATGGTCACCAATGAACTGAAGCCACGCTAAATGGAGTCATATCACACATTATTAAAATGTGCAAGCAAAATAGAAATTTTGATTGTTTCAAAACAACGTGATTCACAATTTTGAATCAATTAAACTTGTGTTTTAGTGTGTGAACAAATTTAAATTCGGTGATCGGCATGAGATTTCGAATTTAAAACTGCTTTATCAGCATTTTCAACAACATTCTTATCTGGCACTTTCCAAAAAAATAGAACAGAAAATTCTTATCTGGCACACTCTAATCAGTTCTAGACTGGCCAAATTTGAATGCGAAAAAGACAGTTAGAAGATAACTCTGAAAGTGATCTGTTCTTTTCATTAGGTTTATCATAAAAAAACGTAAGTCATCATTTCAAAATTCAAAAGAAGTTTTCAATTTTGCTAATTTTTACTGTTGGGAGATTTAACATTCAAGATTTTCAAGCACATTATTCAGGACAAAATTCACAGATTAATTATTTTTCTCAATTTTGAAACAAAGGTAAATCTGAATTGCACAAAAAACAAACAAACAAACAAAAGTCCGAGTACCAGATGATTAATCTGATCGAATAAAGCTTATATCTGGAAAATTTAAATTAAAAAATTGCTGTGATTTTAAGATTTAAATCAAAGAATAATCTCCGGCTGAGAAATCAACTTCATCAGAAGTCAGTCAAGAAATGAATCTCCGCTAATCCACAAAACAAATCCATTTTCCTCTACAAGAGTTTGATCTGACCCGTTCAAACTCGATGATATTCCTAGATTCAATCTACGAACCAAATCCGAACTTCAAAGAAGCACGAATTGAAGCTTAAATCCGAACTTCAAACCTAACTTCATCGACCACAACTAGACCAAATTAGATCATGAAATCAGAACTGAATTCGAAGTATACATAAAAGTTGAATCAACTAATCCAGATAATCAAAATCAATTGTAGGTGTATAAATCAACGACGTACCTGAGAATCACAGCTTCAAAGCTTCGTCATCGTGACGAAGAACCATGAGAAAACAGGAGTCTCTGAAATTGAGATTCAGAGAGAGAGTTTTAACAGACTGAGAGTGATCGTCTCCTGAATTTAATTTTAAAATATTAATAATTAATAATAAAATAAAAGGATAAAATATTTGAATTTGTGAATGAATTTGATTTGAGATTTGAGAGAATAATGAAACAAACACGAAAAGTGGTTTTTTTTTGTCTTGCACAGCGACTCATACCGCGTGTGTAGCTTCCAACCCAATCTGTGATGATGAGAGAGAAAAGGGAGAAACAGGGGATGGAATCTTTGGAGTTTTTTTTAAATATAAAGCCCTTTGGTTTCGAGATTATTACGGAAATGACACGGATCGTTCGATCTTCCGACCGTAATTTCCATGGATTTCTTCTCAAGCTTTTGTGGAATTATTATTATTATTATTATTATGCAATTATTTGATTTTAAAGTCATTTGCCACTGGACGGCTAATTATTGTTCTTCTATTTATTTATTTTTTAATTTATAAGTTTTTTATAAATTTAAGATTCGAACACATATCAACTAATCCAGATATTCAAAATCAATTGTAGGTGTATAAATCAACGACGTACCTGAGAATCACAGCTTCAAAGCTTCGTCATCGCGACGAAGAACCATGAGAAAACAGGAGTCTCTGAAATTGAGATTCAGAGAGAGAGTTTTAACAGACTGAGAGTGATCGTCTCCTGAATTTAATTTTAAAATATTAATAATTAATAATAAAATAAAAGGATAAAATATTTGAATTTGTGAATGAATTTGATTTGAGATTTGAGAGAATAATGAAACAAACACGAAAAGTGTTTTTTTTTGTCTTGCACAGCGACTCATACCGCGTGTGTAGCTTCCAATCCAATCTGTGATGATGAGAGAGAAAAGGGAGAAACAGGGGATGGAATCTTTGGAGTTTTTTTCAAATATAAAGCCCTTTGGTTTCGAGATTATTACGGAAATGACACGGATCGTTCGATTTTCCGACCGCAATTTCCATGGATTTCTTCTCAAGCTTTTGTGGAATTATTATTATTATTATTATTATGCAATTATTTGATTTTAAAGTCATTTGCCACTGGAATAATGCTTGGACCCCCTTTTGGGGTCACCCCTCACCCCCTTTATCACGTGGCAGGGGGTGATTGGAGAAGCAGGAAAAAAAAGAAAAAGAAAAAGAAAAGGTAACCAATGAGAGAGAGAGGGAGTCAAAGGGGGTGAGGGAAAAGGGGATGAATCATTACTCTTTGCCACTGGACGGCTAATTATTGTTCTTCTATTTATTTATTTTTTAATTTATAATTTTTTTATAAATTTAAGATTCGAACACATAGTATTAATATTTGTTGACGTGTGTCAGGAAAATTTTAAAATTAAAATTAGAGTGAATTACATTAATAGGCTCTATAATTTGGAGTTTGTGTTACTTTAGTCCCTGACTTTTCAATTGTGACACATTTGACCCTGAATTTTGAATCTTTTTTCAAATAAGAACAATTGAAGATATCATTAGATATTTCAAGAATAAAATCGTCAATTTGATAAAATATAAGCTAATTTGACAAAAATAAATGTCAAAAAAATATTTTTAAATTTTTAAAAATTATTTATATCCACTAAAGATAAAATTATATAAAATTGATAAATATTTTACACATTTTTTTTTTACCAAATTAATTTTTATTATGTGCTTAGATGATAATCATGTAAAATTAATTTTTAAAAATTAATCATGTAATTTTTATTAATTTTGCTCAATTTTACATAATTTTTATCTTTAATGAATAGAAATAATTTTAAAAAAATTAAAAATATTTTTTTGACATTTATTTTTGTCAAATTGGTTTATATTTTATTAAATTGATGATTTTGCCCTTGAAATTAAACAATGATATTTTCAATTGTCCTTATTTGGAACAAGATTCAAAATTCAGGTCAAATGTGTCACAATTGAAAAATTAAGGACTAAGGTGACACAAGTCCCAAACTATAGAGACGGTTAGCATAATTTGCCCTTAAAATTATAAATGATAGAAAATTAATAGATAGACATTTAAAGTAGTAATAATTATGAGTATTTAACTCAAATCTGTACAAATTAGTTAAATCGGACGGTTTTTAATACTTCAGCTCATATGAGCATTTAACTCAAACCTAAACAAACTAGTTAAATTGGACGGTCTTTGATGCTCCAGCTCATATCGTTGTTAGTTGAATTCTCAATATGGCTTAGGCTAAGGTCATAATTTTCAATATGAAAATAAAATGAAATAAACTAAACTAATTAATTAGGTGTTATGAAAATAAAAAATAAATTAATTAGATGTTGTTAAACTACATGTGTATTGACATGACTCGAACAATGATACCGGTATGAAGTTTTCTTAAGTTGTTAGGCTAAGAGTAGTGCTCACTCTCTTGTGCTTGTACTTATACTTATATTTGGAGGATTGAATCCAAATTGTAGGTGTTTTTTTAAAATGAAAAATGACAAGTACATAATTTATTGCTATCCTAGGGGGAGGGCTAGGGAACGGGAATTGAATCAAAATCCAAAACGACGTCGTTTTGGGTTTTGAGCCACATTCGGACCACTAATTTCGGGCCCTCAAACATTATTCCATAATTTATTGCTATCCTAGGGAGAGGGCTAGGGAACGGGAATTGGGGTGGTCCAATCTTTTTTGTATTTTGGATCTCAGGTGAAGATAAAATTTTAAGAATTCTATCTATTGTGTTGAACATAAATTTAAAATGTTTGTAAGTTTAATTTATTTATTTAATATATTAACAATAAATTGAATTCAAGTAATTTGATTTATTTTACTAGAATGGCGATCGTCAGAAAATAAAATGACGGCATCAATAGGTGATGGTTGCAACAAATGGTAGTCATTGTGGGGTGGGATAAAACTGAGGCAAACTTTGTTGAATTTATTACATAAATTATTAAGATATTTGATGCCATTGCAAAGAGGACGGCCATTTATTTTGGATTCCACTTTAATTTGAGTTCACTGCCACATTGTGCTCTTTTTTGTCTCTTTCCTTTGTTTTTTTATGCTGCTTTTATGCTGCTATTAGTGCCAAAAAAAAACCAAAGTTTATTTGGGGTCTTTTGGAACGTGGGTTATAATTCACTTCTCAGATTATAACTCACTTTTTTCTCTCACAAAAAGTTGATTATAACCATCTTTTTAAAATAGCCTTTTATTTTTCTCATTTGTGTGTTTAATTATTATCGCTCTTTTTAGTTTAAAGTTAATTTTTATATTTTTGTTTTTAACTTTTATGTACAACCATATACTAATCCAACATTTGAGTGATCAAGGTGCTAAAAGAGGATTTCTTTTCTGCCTCAAATAGGTTTTTTTTTGTAGGTATGCTAAAAGTCTTTTTTTTTTCAAAAAAATGCCTCTGTTCTTTTGATTCTATTTCCAAGTATGTAATCAAACTGTTTTGACCAAATTCAACCTTGGTTTAATGCATTCATATATATAAATTTAAATCCAATCTAGACATTAAAATTTTAGCTATTAAATCTCAACTAGTATGAACCCATGAAAAATTTAAAAACACATAAAAACTAGCCACAAAATCGAATACGAAAAAAAAGTGATCTCTCCAATAAATTTGTAAAGTTTTATCCATTCATACGTATTATGTGTTTCATTCTCTATTTGATTATAACTATTGTTAAATGAAAGAGAACAAGAAAGTATGAGAAAAGATTGGGACCATCACTGGGGGAGACCTCAGCACCCTCACTGGGTGTTGATTGGCCAGAAATTTTTCTTTTTTTTTTTTCCTTCTTTTTTTTTTTACTAAATTTTTTTTAATATTTTAACCATTTTTTAAAATTTTTAAACATGCCTAACATAAATATACCTTGGGGTCTCTATCAAAGTTGAGAAAGTATTTAGATTGTATTTTTCTTTTTCAATCGACAAGACGTAATTATAAATATTATAAAAAGTGGATCAAATTAGACATTCAACTATATAGTCGTAAGCATACAACAAGCTTAATAATCTCAAATTCATCTACACCCTTGTGGTACTCAAACTTAAGATCTCAACCACCGAGGTAGTAATACAACTACCCAAATATTGTCATCCAAACCACGTTGGTATTGCGGGTTTAAATGTACTTAACGTACCAAATTGTCTGCTTTCTTTTCTTTTCTCAGTTGAACAAATGAAAAAGAAATACATTGCACAAGAAATGGCCAGACAACTGAAAGTACTATAAAACTCAACAATGTTAGGTGGCCTGAAAAAACGTAACTCGAATGGCTCGAAACAACCAAAACAACGTCGTTTTGACACATTCGAGTCACAGAAATTCAGGTCACCAAACATTTTCTGGTTAATCCTTGTCAGTTTGTGTGAATATTGAATAAAGTGTCCTCTGTTTCCATTTCCATACATACACTATAATGACTACAAGTCAACTACAAACTTTGAAGTGGAGACCACTTGTTGAAACCAAAGTTTTCCATCAAACAGTCACAATAGCAAGGGTCATTTGGGTACAATAAAAACAGATTTACATTGACATGATCAACACCTTCACCAAACAAAACAAAATAGTTGTGGAAAAAATTGTTAATGAAAATTGTCAAAAATGGAATGAAAAAGAACAAAGAATTGTTCTAAGGTGTCCTCTGGCTTCTAAAATCAGTCATCTCAGATAGAGTTTTCTTTAAATAATCGCCACGACTTCGGTGATAATCAATCCAAACACATAGCTGCCTTATAGCCTCCCTTTTCTCTTCTCCCAAACCCAACATTCCTTCTTCTTTCTCTTTCACCATCTTCTCGAGCTCTCTCACTTTATGCTCCAATTTCCAAACCTTTTCTCTGAATCCCAGTATCTCCACTTCCTTTGTATCCAATTGCACGAGCAGGCAATCCAAGTCTTCTTGGACGTGCTTTATCGCGTTGTTTTTCCTCCTCACCCAATCCTTTGCAAACAATACCTCACACGAGGACTTTGAAATCCGATTCAAAAAGTTCCCACTACACTCCTCGAATTTCAGCGCTGCTGTGTCCAATCCAGTCAACATGTCGTTAGCTGTCAGTGAAATATCCTTCATCCTCTTCATTGCAATTTCAGTAGATGCCACCCTTTCTTTTAGGTCCATGTGTTCTTGCTCGTACTTCTCTTTTGTTTTTCCATAAACATCTTTGTTCTCAACATGTAATTGTTCTGCAACGCGGATCCTCCTGCTCAAGATACGTAGACTATCTTCGAATTTCTTTTTGAACTCTTCCGCAGTTTCTTCAATTTTTTTCTCTGCTATTTGGAAATTCAACTTTGATTCCGAATACTCAGCTTTAACTTGTTTATGCTCGTCGTTTAACTTCTTGATAACATCGTCTTGGCCTTTTATAGTTGTCTGATATTCTGCAATCTTTCTTGTCAATTCAATGTTTTGTTCTTCAATCCAAGTCAACCGCTCCAATGACTCTTGTTTCTCTCTCTCAATCCGTGATCCCAATTGGATTTTCTCAGTGTGCAATGAACGCAACTCATTCTGCAGATTGTTTACCTCTGCTCCTGAGGCCTTAATCTGAGTAAATGAATCATTATCTAAAGCTTCAAACTTCGTTTTGAGAGTGGAGAGCTCAGTATCCCTTCCCATCAATGATTTCTCCAACTGAGAGATTTTAACATTCAACTCTTCTTTCTCTTCTCTCATCTGATCAGCCTCATGATTTTTACTTTGCATTTGCTCTTCCAAATCAGTTTTCTGGAGGCAAAGAGAACCCACTTCAAGTTCCAGGTCCTTCAGCTGCATTTCTAAACCCTCTTTCTCTTCTATCATTTTTTCTAAATCTATGGTATTGATTTCTAGTTTCTCTTTCAAATTTTCTATCTGGGTGAGAAAATCCGATATCTCTTTAGTTACTTTCTTGAGACACGTTTCTGATTCACTTTTCTGACTGCTTAGAGAATGCAGCTCCTGTTGCAAAACATTCACTTGATCCATTACGCCTTTAACTTGCGAGGTTGCTTCATTACTCTTGAACACCACTTGTTCTTCCAAATCACATTTCTGAGTCCGCAAAGTATTTATCTCCAATTGCAAATTGTTCGCATTTGCCATCAGTTCCTCAGTTTTAGACATTGACTTGCTCTCATTTTCTTCAAGTTTCCTCGAAAGAGAAGAAAGTTCATCTTCTCTCTCTAGGGACTTCCTTTCAAGTTGTAATATGCGTGCTCGCAATCCTAAATTTTCCTCTATTAAGTGTTTGGAATTTGTTTCTCGACCTCCAATTTGCTGTTCAAGTACTGTTTTTTGGGTTCCCAACTTTTTGAGCTCAAGTTTCAAGCTGGAAACCTCGCGCTCTAATACCTTTATTTGAGTTGGTACTGTGCTCTCATGAAGTCTGCTGAGAGAAAACAATTCCTTCTCTTTTTCATCCAATTTCTCCTTTAATTGGGTACATTCGTTTAGGAGTTTCTGTTTTGTGCGCTCTGTCCGGTCAGTTTCAGTCCTTAAACCCTCAATGATTTTCTTTGATTCATGTATTTTGCTTAGAGTTGCCATATGCTCTGAATGTAAATCTTCCTTTTCTTTGATCATAGCAGTCAATTTATTCCTCAGATCAGTAATTTCTGAACTTGAAGTTTCCAGTTTGAGCTTAAAGCCATCTCTCGCCCTTTGAGAAAGATCGGTTCTTGGCCTGCTTCTACTGCTTGCTTCATCCAAGGAATGGTATGATTCTGTGTCTGAGCTAGAGGTAGAAGAAGACCCCTCCTTGTGCTCTTTGCTTTGAACTTTTTCTCTTACATCATCTCTGAGATTACCATAAAGTGCATATAGTTCTTGGTACTGTTTGTGGAAATCCTCAATGAGCTCAACAAGCTCCGAGTTTTTTGCAGGGTTCCCGTCTTTTTTGCCTTGATTCTTGTTCTTTATAAGCTTCATAATCCTTGCTACTTTATTGTCAATTTCTGCAATAACAAGTAAACTTCCGAAATTGGTACTGAATTTGCTAAAACTTTATTATTATATCCGAAAGCAAGTAAAACAGCAATAACTAAGGGAGTTTCAAAAGTAATCCATACATGTAAAGAAAAGTACATGAATGGATTACTTCTACCAAATCATGAGATTGATATTCACCTGGGAAAAAAAAATTGGGTGTCTACGTTTTGTCTAGTTTTTGAAGGATGTTAAGAGCAAAAACAAAAATGAATACATTAAACTTTTTATTTCAGAGAATGAAAGTAAATATATATTTCAAAAAATTATATAGGCAATCTATAAACTGTAGTCATGGCCTTGCAGTTGATTTATGCCAAGCATGCTTTGGAATTGGATAGAAAATTGTAGCTTCTTTTCTGATGGAGTTGAACCTGTGATTCTCAAGTCTGAACACAAGGTTTCAAACTACATTTTCAACTAGCCAATCATCTTCTAAGTCCAAAAATTAGGAAATTTTAGATAAGGTTTTCAAGTGATGTCCAAAAAAAAAAACAGACAGGTTGAAAGTCATATAGGGCTACACCCACCGTACCACGTTCTTGGATGAGCAACATACTGTCAACCCTTTCTGGTTGTGCGTACCACATAAATCCACGTTTTGGGTTGGATTTGGCTGGTAGTAGAGCTTTATATTGCATTCTTTTGGACTCTACAGAGCTATTCCACAGCCTCCAATAATATTGTAACGACTGAGGTTGTTTCGGAGAGAAATATATACCTATTTTAGTCTTCCTCAGTTGTTCTTCTTTCTCAGGATCAATATGACTTCCCAAGGACTTTATTGACTCCCTCCAGCGACTCCTTGTCATCTTTATGCTGGCTCTGTAGAAAACTTCACTCAAAAAGGGGGGATCAAGGCAATGCTCTCACCATCTGAAACACAATAAAAACCAAGATGTAATAATTGTAATTTAAGAATTTAGATTGACATTTTGAAATTAACTAGTTGAAAATTAACAGTTAAATTAACAAAACTGTAGCTACTAGCCTAAAATGCTTTATTCCATGAATATTTGGACAGAGATGGTTGTCTAAGATTTATCAGAATCCCATATATAGACAGAAACTGCGAGGAGACAAATAAAAGAATGCATTTACAGCAAAAATGTTATGTCAACTAGAACACAAATCCTGGGTTCAAATCTTGTTGCCCCCATTATCTCTGTCATTGTACACTCTGGGTATGTTTGATTGGAAGGATTAAAGCATGGGATTGGGATTATTAATCCGTGGGCCCAATCATCCTATGTTTGTTTTGACACTTTGGTTTAGGATGATTTATCAGAATCCCATATATAGACAGAAACTGCGAGGAGACAAATAAAAGAATGCATTTACAGCAAAAATGTTATGTCAACTAAAACACAAATCCTGGGTTCAAATCTTGTTGCCCCCATTATCTCTGTCATTGTACACCCTGTTCTGTCTGTCTTCATGAACCTTGTTTCTCAGTTGTCTCTCTCCATGAATGAGACATGGTCGTAGGTGGTTGTCTAAGATTTATCAGTATCGCATATATGGACAAAAAATGTTGGAAGGCATAATACAAGAATGCAAATTATGCAATTACAGCAAAAATATTATGTCAAACTTAAACACGTTGTCTGTCTTTGTGCACCTTGTTTCTCAGTTAGTCTGTCTCTACATGTACGAGTTTGTGAGGGGGAGTGTTGATGGATATTGTTATGTCCATTTCCTAATAGCTTAAGTTTTGGAATAATTGGCGACTTAAAATTTTCAGCTCGCCAGCTAAAAAAGATAAAAGCTACTACATCATTGCAGATTTGCAATGAGGAACACTAGTAATAGTTATCTAACAGATCAAATAACCTTTTGAATTTGTATAACAATATTCCCAATTACAGATATGACATAAACATTTCAAAGTTCAATTGACTAGGATGGATGATCTGTATGAATATTCAGTTTCCTTCGATATTTGGTTCGCAAATATGTTTCAATTAGCAAACAACAAAGAGGTGAAAATTCGGATCTCTATTGAAACACCTAACAATTATTTCATCGGTACCACCAAAAAATGAATCAAGCATTCGAGATACAAACATATCAGAGCTAATTCATGATTTAATCAATTTGAAACTCTCTCGAACCAAATATTACAGCAACATTGATTAAGAATTCAAACAAATCTACCACGACCCAACAATGATCTGTTTGTTTCCGGAGAAAATGAAGGAAAAAGGAAGTGATATACATGTCAGGATTTTCTCATTTTCATTACTTGCACAACACGAGGAAACAAGAAACCTGATTTTAGAAGAAAATAAAAGAAAACAACCATTCGGATTAATTGGATTATATTATATTTACAAACAAAACAATACAACGTGAAAGTAATTATATAAGACTCGAAATGTCGTGTTTTACTTTCTTTTCCTGATGTTTTTCTCAGCAAACAAAGTAAACAATGCCGAATGTCAAGGAATCAAAAATTACCTGTAAATTGGAAGTAGTGAAGGTTCATATTTATGGCCGATCTGAACACAAAAATGACAAATCAACAAGACAGAGAGAGAGAGAAGAAGAGATATTATAATAATATTATTATTATTGGTAATTTTATTTTTAGTGAATTTTAATTTTATATTGGTTAGCACGTGTGTGTGCGCGCCCGAATATAACTAACTTAACGTGACATGGATGTGCACATTGATGAAGTATTAGTAAAGTCTTGCCCTTTGATCGTCTAATTATTACGTCTATGCCACCAAACGTTTGAATCGCCACGCGGGTAGAATCCTAAAATAAAGGAGAAATTAGGTATAGAGAAAAAAAAAAAAAAAACATTACCGTGAGGGGTGCTAGTTAGTCTGGGGTGTTTTGGGAATGGTTTTTTTTTGTTTTTGCTTTTATTTGGTTTATTTTTGTCTTTAATAAAAAATTTTTAAAAAAAATTATATGCAGCTTAATAAGATAAACTGAAAAATTATAATTTTTTTGAAAAAAATCTAGAAAAGATAAAATAAGTAATTTTTTTTTACTTATTTTTATCTTTAGTAAATTTTTAAAAAAATTTCAAAAAAAAATGTACTATTTAGATTCTCAAGACACAGACTGAAAAAATAAAAAAAAATTGACATAATTTTGAAAAAAATCACTAAAGATAAAAAAAAAAATTTAAATGTGGCTTTCTTTTAAAAAAAAAAAAAAAAGACCTCTATAATGGGGAGCAAGCGAAAAGTTGTGAGATGCAAACGTCACTTGCAACTTGCACCCCTCCATGTTTGCATAAAAAAAAAAAAAAAAAATTTGTCCCACTAAATATAATTCCCCCTAAAATAAACAAAGCTACCTAAGCGAGGCTAGTTAAATTTTTGTTAAATATTGATTCATCACGTAAAATAAGTAACCCATTTTAAAATTAATTAAATTTGTAAATTGATCTCAACTCAACTCAATCAATACTTGTTTGATATCCACTTGAATGGAACATGAGTCAATATTAAATATACCTTAAAACTCATTAAATTTTTAAATCAAACTACCAACATTGTACTCAACAGGAATCAGCTCACTATCCAAACTTTTTGTTTAATCACTCAGACATCAATTTCCCCCTCTTTTGATCAACAATCCAACAGGGATCTCAGGTTTCACAGATCAGTGCTTAAAGCTTAAACTATGAATTGCACAGAGAAGAATAATAAAAACCTTTATGCCCTTGCAAATCTGCTTAATGCTCCCACTCTTTTGATCTATCACGTATTCATGTATTGCAAACTTAGAGCCTGTTTGATTTTAACTTCAAACAAAAATTTAATTGGAAAAAAAAAAAATGCATGTTATAATCAGCAATTCTAGCAAAGAGATGAATCATAAGACTCGGAATATATTTTGCATATCATCCCAAAACGAAAATTCATTCAGAAAGGCTAGTCATTCCGAACAAATATTTGAACACCAAAAAGGCACACACAGTATCTACAATTATAACACACAACAATAGAAACACGAGTGTGCTAATCCTCGTCAGAACCAACTTTTTGTTTCTTCCACTTGTACGCAGCTTCCAAAATCTTGAGATTCGTGGTCTGCGTTTCCTCGGGGAATAGATAGTCTATATATTCTTCATACCTGTCAATTGTAAAGTTAACAGCATTAGCAACAGGGAAAAGGAAAGAAAGCATCACGCATTAGATATTTAAGAGCGCGTAAAATGAACAGTTAAAAATGCGGCTAACATATTGGAAACGGTCAACTTGACAGTCTTAAATGAAGATAGAAATGAGAAGTCAAGATGGGAAATTTCCAATCTGTTACAAGCTAAGACAACAAAACGACCACCCAAGAAATAGAGAATAATATCATAAGTTGATGAACATACCCGGCTGGGCCATCCTCGGTTTCTATTTGCCGCCTCCTCTTGAGTTTCTTTGGCAACTTAACGCGGACTAAACTAACATCACCTAACTCATCAAAACTACTCTCCATGTTCAACCATTCATCCAAGAGCATTGCTCTTTCTTCTTTCAATTCGGGAGCAGAAGTTCTAAAGTAGTTAACTGCTCTCTCGAACACCCCTGAACACATGAAATGAGACTAGCTTTAGTCTTCCATATAAAACAAAAAAATCAAAAATAAAATAACAATGGCAGCAACATTAAAGACTTTTTGATTGCTTACTTCTTGCTCGCTGAAGGCATAGCTTCTTCTGATCGAGAAGACATTCCTGGACATCATCTTCCGGCAAGTCTGAGCCTCTTTCATCATCTTCCATTGCAGATGCCTCAAACTTTGCAAAACTAATCCACACCTTCAAGTGCTTCGTCCGGTCTAAAAGCCTCTCATAAAGCTCTCTAGTTCTTTGAAATTCATTTTCTGACATCTCAAAATCGATATATGCCTGTCATAAATTAGACCGTCAATACCCATTGCAATTTTATGTATTTTTTTTATCAGCAATTTGATGTGTGACCTTGCAATCTTTACACCAATTTCATGAATAAACAAGATTTTAACAGAAAACTAAAAAATAATGTCCCCATTATTTCTTAGAGGTCAGCAAGTATGCTCATCTTCTATCACTGCAACCTATAAGAAGCACATTGACAAATGCCACGCGAAATCACTTGCAGGGAAAAGACAAAAATAAAAAATAAAAATTAGAATAAGTTTCCCAGCATAAAACCGCCCATTGATGGTGAAAAAAACATATAAATAAAATCTCACAGGTCACATCGGAATATTTCATCATCTAAAAGCCATTAATCAAATCAAGGCCTTGTGTAGTCCACAGTGCCTAAGTTTAGCAGACAAAGATGGAGCACTCAGCGTGCAAAGGTGCACACATAATAGATACCATAATTCCATTGTAAACTTTTAAAAAAGCAAGCTTAAAGGACAAAAGGCAAGACAAAGCAAAAGCAGAAGACACAAGATAAGAAAAAGAAACATCACATACAAGACAGCCCATAAAATTAGGAGATACGTTGCACGAAACCAGAACACAACTTTTAGCATGTGTACTAGGCAAAATAAAATTGCACAAGGATATAAATTTTCAAACTTGATTGCCAGCTGAAATAAAATATTAAGTAGTAAATGTTAAGTCATTCAAATCCTGTCATATGGCAGACAAAATTCAATTGTAATGACATGTGCAGGCAATTGAAATAGATGAAGGCAGTGCTCCAAAAGTGTAAGATCTTTCTTGTGACAACCCATCCAAACCAAACTAGTAGAAAACCATATGTCATTTCATTTGAAGCAGGACCATGCTGGAGTGATGAGAAAGAGTCAGAAAGTGGCTTTATTAAAAATTCAGACAGTATGGATCCATAAAAAGCACCCGAAAAATAGCTGTTAAGAGAATAATTTTAACGAGTAATGTAACAGAGAAGGCAAGTTACATTCACAACTGGACATGGAAAGTGGAAACAAAGCGAGATTGATGCAAGCCAACCCCCATCAAAGCCCATCTTTACTAGGATCAGGCCAAACTATAGTTTGCCTACCAGCCCACAGACGATACATTGTTATGAGACCCCACCCAAGCTCAGTCATGTGTACCAAGTCTATTCAAAGTTCCAACCAGCAGTTGGGGAGTGATAAATGAGAAGATAGGAACTCTCTCCCAAAAATCCAGGAGAGCACAAAAACAGAAAAGGCGGTTTCATGATACACAACTTAATTAAGCACTTTAATGACATGGAGTGCCTTGCGTATTCAATATTCAATTATATTTCTCCCACAAATGCACTAGATTAGTTATCGATGAAGGCATCAATGTTATCAAGTAGTGTCTGTGAAAGATGATGAATGTTGTCAAGTGTCTGAAAGATATTTTGTCCATGAATGCACTAGATTAGTCAGCCTCCAAGAGTTTTTCTCAAAAACTATAACTGTCCCAAGTTTTCTTGTGTTTCTTTTTTCTTTTTAGTCAAAGTTCTCTAAGCATATGACAAGTCAAAGTTCTAATTTGAAGGAACTCGCTGTGCAACAACGTACCAAGTTAAAGCATATAATTGCAGGCACAGGTTAGTTGAGTTATAAGTTATAACATACGCAACCCAAAATCAAAGTCACACTTTCTTTTGTAAAAATTTCCCACATGGATATTAAAAAAACTAAAGAAATTTGTAGTCTATCCACTCAAGCATATGAAGGATTATAGAAAGTACAGTCTTTATAAGTTCTCTAAGGTACAATAATTAGAACAATTTAGCCAATTTCAATTTTCCCCTATGACATACATAACCTTTACAAGTTCTCTAAGGTACAGTAACCAGACCTATTAGTCAATTGACAAATAACTATAACAAGTCAAAGTTCTCTAAGCATATGACAAGTCAAAGTTCTAATTTGAAGGAACTCGCTGTGCAACAACGTACCAAGTTAAAGCATATAATTGCATGCACAGGTTAGTTGAGTTATAAGTTATAACATACGCAACCCAAAATCAAAGTCACATGGATATTAAAAAAACTAAAGAAATTTGTAGTCTATCCACTCAAGCATATGAAGGATTATAGAAATTACAGTCTTTATAAGTTCTCTAAGGTACAATAATTAGAACAATTTAGCCAATTTCAATTTTCCCCTATGACATACATAACCTTTACAAGTTCTCTAAGGTACAGTAACCAGACCTATTAGTCAATTGACTCAATTTCAATTCCCCCTACAAAATTTATACAACTTATTCTAGTCATGGAACATTATTTGTGATTTGACTTAAAAAATTTGGTTCAGAGGAATAAAGGAGCCCAATCACACTACTACTTCAACTCCAATAACCTACTTAATAATCTGCACAAAGTAATTTTCGTATTTCAAGAAACACTTTGATCATATCGAATTGGATAATTAATGCGTTTCCACTTGCTTTTGTATGTAAGTAGTTATTCATTCAGGAATATGTGTTCAGATTTTTTTTTATTTTTTTGGTTGTTGACATTGTGTTCAGATCATGTTTGAAAGTAGGGGGATTTCAACAGTGACCACAAACACCAGGACTGTATTCAACATTACAAATCTACTATAGGAAAAATAAATTTCAGCTTCAATCATATCAAAGAACAGATATATGTGTACCTTCCATAACAACTCTGGCATATCCAGTGCAGGTTGTGCAATGGCAAGCTCAAAAATGGATCTGGCCCTCTCAGTTTCACTAAGCGATCTCTCTAACTCAGCATACTTGCTCCACGCATAGCAGTTCTCTGGGGCCCACTCCAAATATTTCTCATAAAGCTTTCGGCAACGATCTATGTTACCAAGTTGCAGCTCTATCTCAATGTACTTCTTGAATATCTGTTTGTGAAAATGAGGGGTCAACAACATGATGTTACAAAATTCATCAAAACTTGCATAAGGTCATGAAATTCATCAGCACTGGTGTTGGCCAAAATGTCATACAAAAGCATTAATCTATATCACCTTATCTTTTGGAGCCTTCCCAACGGCATTGCCGAGGATGAGCCGTGCACCCTTCAGATTCAACTGTCGTATTTCAAACTGGGCAGCCAATAACCAAATCTTTGCAAATGAGAACTTCTCATGAGGAATCAACTTAAGGCATTCCCTGGTCAATTTCAGAGTCAATCAGAGAGTATTAACATTTGCAAAGCCAATCCATATATGAGAGAGAGAGAGAGAGAGAGAGAGAGAGTCAGCCCTCCAACAACATTACTCAGTAGCTTATACAAATTATTCAATATGAATCGCTGACAAGGAACTTCTACAAATACAATCTCTGAAGCACTGAGAAACCATCATTCCGTCACATCACTAATCTTCTACTTATTGTGCCTAAATGGAATGTCTGGCTAAAATTATTAATGAATACAAATGACATGGGAACACATTTGAGTGCAAATTTGTTCACCCAATGTGAACGTTACACACTCTACCATTGGTTGTTGAATGAGGTGCCACTTTTAACATCAATGTGAAGTATAATGTTCATACACATAATATGTGAACAAATTTGCACTTGGACACATTTGGGCTGCATTTTATTCAGAGAATATGACAATTTATCTATGAGTACTAGCTTTTCCTTAAAACATACTTTTATATAATTATGGTTTTATGCTATACATTTTAATAGTTTGTTATTACAATGATCAGTTATCCACTAGTGGTTCAGATTGCTAGCACAAAAGAAAACGAAATCATATATTCTAGTTACTAGGAAATGTGATTGCTAACCTAGCTACTAGGGAATCATTTGCTGTAAATATGATATCATAAGAAGGGCTACTTCAGTTAATTCACAATGTTCATAAATAGGCATGATATAACCATAGGCTGTTCATGGGAGAACAAAACAAATAGTATTTATAAAGAGGGAATAAGTAAAGGTAGAATAATGCATATAAAGGTTCAGTGTACTACAAAAGGTCTCTTACTTGAGTTAGGAGCGGATTCAACCAATGCATAAATTTTAAGAAAGAAAAGGGTTTTTATGCGGAAAGGCAGAAAAAGTTGCTGGAATGGTTCAACTTATGAATCAGACAATGACTCGTGATCAAATTCTATAAGAGAACAATGGTTAATAAAATAAAAACCATAAATTAGAATGTTTAAATTAGTACTCCACTCTAATGTAAAATCAAATCATAAAGCCGTAATCCTACTCAAATAACTTTCTTAATAGTACTTCTAAATTATCTCCAAGAGTCATGGTCACCAAATAACCCAAGCATTACTAAATGAACACGATTTGTGTCAAATACAATACATATGAAGGCGAAAAAAACCAAAATATACAAGTTTTTCACAAATTAGTTTCCTAACAAGGTCAAAGACTTGTTACCTATACACTTCTCTGGTACGCTCCATGTCTTGTGCATCAAGCTCTTCATATAAAGCATAATTAATCCTGAAGAACATACAAAGCAAATAATTCAGCAACAGCTAAACAAGCAGCTAAATCTTCATTTGAACAAGATTGAGAGACTAAATTACCAACCAACATTCTTATGCCAACAATAAACTTACCACAGGTAAATGTACCGCTGCCAATACCGCTTCTCTTCAGCCGGAGGAACATTGGCAATAGCCCTCTCATAAACCTCCCGAACCCGGTTTTTATTCCCCACACTCTCTTCCAACCGAATGTAATCAAACCACGAGTCGTAATTAAGTGGGTTCTTCTTAACCTCATCCTCATATTGAAACCTCCTCTTCCCAACAATGGCATCCTCTATCCCTTCCTTATCCCCATACTGTTTCTCAAAAGCTACAAACTTTCTATACAAATCCTCAGCCCTCCCTTTCGGAATATGATCGAGCGCAAACTTATATATACACCTCGCCCTCTCGGGCTCCTTACGCCGCTCTTCAAACTCCGCACGCCACAAACAACTGCTCCGCCTCTTCATCATCAGCCAACTTATCAACTGCCCTCTCATAACAATTCCTTGCTCTACCAATCTCTCCATTCTTCATCTCAAACTTGGCAAATCGAATCCAAGCAGTGACTTTGGGGTGACAAAGCACAAACCTTTCGAAAATGGCTCTAGCTCGCTCAATTTCATTGTACCTAAGTTCGAATTTGATGTAGGAAAGCCAACCCTGCTGATCAGGCTGCCAAGTCATCCACCTCTCGAAGATTTGCCTGGCTCCAGCAACATTCCCCAAAATCTCCTCCATGTGAATGTACTTGTACCACAACTGATCAACCCTAGGCAACAGAGTAACCGCTCGATCCCAAACGTTTCGAGCATGATTGATGAACTTGTTCTTCATCTCAACCTCTGCGTATTTCAACCACAAGGTGTGGTTCCGATAATCGACCTCTAGGGCTCGTTCCCAGACCGATCGGGCTCGATTGAAGTCCTTTTGGGACTCTTCCCACTGAGCGTACTTGATCCAAACACTGGTGTTCCATCGAACTCGGCGAATTAGGTCTTCGAATTCTTTGCGCTTGCGGAGACGATAGTCGTTGAGTTCTGTGACGTCGGTGATTTTCTGCTTGGGAGGTCGAATCTCGGCCTCTTGGCGCTCGCGAGCCTCGCGGAGGATTTGCTCGGCGGTGATTTGGATAGGGGCTGGGGTTTTGTTCTTCACTCTGGTGGGTCGAGGGAGTTTCACCTCTGTTTCTTTCCGAGTTAGGTACCCTAGCGATGGATCTGAATCTTTTGTTGCCCCCATGCTTGAATGTTGGAAAGACAAACAAAGAGATACACAATATCTACGTATGTACAGAGAGAGAGAGAGAGAGAGACTCCTGCGGCGTCTCTGTGGAGAAGGAGACTCAGGAATTGTGTTCTAGAACTGGATGTAATAATTTGGGCTATTTATAGCAGATTGGGATGTGATTGTGGTTTTAAAGGAATTGAGATTGGTATTCTGGGCCTAGTCTGTAGGCTCGGACTGGGCTCTATTAATATTGGATCAATTACAGCTCAGTCCTATGTGTACAAAAAAAAAAAATAATAATAATAATAATAATAAGTGGAATCGATAAATTGATGTAATCTATCTAAACTCTTGGTTTGATTTGGTTTTATTAGATTCGTTTATGGTTATGCTTGTGGTTATGGTTATGGTTATGGTTATGATTATGATTATGTATATGAATCAGACCGTGATATATCTAGACCATCTCCAATCCTCAATTAAAAACCTGACATTAAATTTAAAATTTGGTGAAAAAAATACTTTTTGATGTTTCAACGATTTTACCAAATTGATATCAAATCGAGATTTTACCAAAATTAGGACAGGCTCCGCATTTCACCAAAACACTGTTCATGCCCGTTGGGTAGACCAACCGGTCGTCAGTTTTTATGGTTCGGTTTCACAATTTAACGATTTGGTTATGATTTTATTTTTTTCGGAATCGATTCCTACGATTCGGTTCTCGGTTTACTATAAAACAAGACTAATTCGATCTGTGTACACCCCTATCATGTGATGAACTTAAATGTCTATAAGTAAGGGTGTTCAGAAAAATCGATGGAAATGGTAACTGATTCAATCTAGTCTAAAACGTCGTATTGATCTGATTTTTTTAGTTACATTTCTGGTTCTAAAAATGGTGGAACAGTTTAAATCAGTCTGGTTTCCAATTCTAAGGCTTTAGTTATAGTTTCGAACCGAATCAGACCATGACATATTTATTTTTTATTTTTATATAAAAAAAATTAAAATATAAAATGTTTCTAACAAGATTTGAACACTAGCCATCATCAATGTGAAATTGATAAACTCTAACCAATTTAATCAAACATATTATTATTAATTTGTATACTAACATAAAATATATATTATATTTATTAGTATGTAAAAATCTTGGAATTGTAAATCGAACCGAACTAAGCCTCTGTTTGGGAAGTGGGTTGGCTTTTTGGCTTTTTGGTTTTTTTGGCTATTTTAGCCTGGGCTAAAAAGCTTGGTTTGGGAAGGGCTTTTTGGCTTTTTGGCTTTTTTGACTTTTTTTTGTGAGAGAAGAGTGTAATGATTATGGGTTGGATGTGATGTTTTGTTTGTTGTGGCTAAAATAGCCTGTTTTGTCTTTTGTGGCTATTTTAGCCCCAACCAACTTGCCAAACACCACCTAAATTAGTTTTCATAGTTCGGTTCTAATCCAATTTTTGGGATTGGATTTGAGATTTAGAGTCATAAATTGATAATAAGGGATTGTTTGAGATATTCAAAATAAGTACACTTTTTTACTTTTTATGAAATATGAGTTGAGTTTGAAGTGATGTGGTAGAAAAGTGATGTAACTTAAATAAGATGATGTGATTTAAATAGGATAGTGACTTTTTGTCTTTTTGACTTTTTTAAGAGATGCAAAATCTAGCCTAAATTCTTTATTTTATATTTTATATTCATCAATTTTGTAAACATATTATAAAACATAGAAACCCTTTAGGATTAAGCATTAATACCAAGGTTTCGAATCTCACACCGATTAAAGTATGGTTTTGTCCATTGGTACGGTTTGTATTTGGAAAGTTGGTTAAATACTTATTTTTTTGTTTTTAGTTTTTTATCTTTTTGTGGGTAAAAAATAAAAATGTAATGTGACAAAAAATGGATTATAAATTAAAAATTAACTTTTTGCTAGCTTTTCAAATTATCCGATAGCATAATTTTAAACAAAAAATAGACATGTTGAAAAAAAAAAACACGAAGAAGGGATTTAGGCCTCCTTTGGGAACAAGCTAATTTAGTAATTTTTTAGCTATTTAACTAAAATATGAGCTAAAAAAAACTAGTATGTTTGGAATGACTTTTTGATTTTTTACGAAAATATGTGCAAAAAGTAGAGAGAAAAGAGAATCTTTAACTTTTTGGTATGAGTTGTTGGCTTTTTGGCTAATTTAATAACTTTTTGACTTTTTGACTAAAAATGAAGGTTCCCAAACGAGGCCTAATCAAATATATCTCATTATTTGAGGATTTACAAATTTATAATTAAAAAAATATTAATTATGGCACCAACCCACCAACTTTTTCTAAGGTTCGTTGGAGATGTGAGTTAACTTTTTGACTATTTGAGGTTAAAAAGTTTCGTTTATGATAGGTTTTTTAATTTTTTTAATTTTTGTGAGAAAAAAATAAAATGATTATGAATTAAATGTATTGAATTAAAAAGTCTATTTTATCTTTTTGTAATTATTTCAGCAAAAACAAGCTCCTAGTCAAAGCAGTGGCCTCTTCGATACAATATGAAGGTTTCATGTTGTTTTTTTTTAAAACTCATGAAGGTTTCATGTTTAGACACTGACGCAATGATAGCAAGATATTGTTCGGACAATGAGATTATGAGAAGCAAAATCTACTATAATATTTTATCTCTCTTTTTAGCGTTCTTCATGACCTTTGCAATGGCCAATTTATCACCATTGAGTATCCACAAGTTTTCATTCTCATCCCCTTCCGAAGCTTTATTCTCTAATGCTCGTGCTTTTTGCCTTGCATTGGCACAGAATCCTAAAACTCCATCTCAACTCTGACATATCCAACAATCGTAACTTACCTTTTCCAAGTTTTCAAGCTCTTTATGGTTGATTTAGGCTAAGTTTCACGTCTTTCAAAAAATTTAAAAAGTCAAAAAGTCACTATCCTATTTAAGTCACATCATCTCATTTAAATCACATCACCTCTTTAACACATCATTTCAAACCCAACCCAAATCCAACACATATTTCATAAAAAGTCAAAAAGTACACTTATTTAGTCTTCCCAAACTTGACATTAGTATTCTTATTTGTATTATCGTGATCGACACAATTATATCGAGTTGGGTGTTTAACTTCACCTCTAGAACTGAGATAAATTTTCGTTTTCAGTGATGGAGAAGGAAAAATTGCTGATAGAGAAAACCAGAATATGAGGGATATGGGGAGTGGGCAATGTAATTTGGGCGATTTGAGAATAAAATTATAAACAGAATGGGGGATTGACAGATTGGTGGATTAGCAAATCACAGTTTGGGTTGATTGATTAATTGAATAATATTTTAACCAATAATAAAACATTTGCATAATATATAACACAAACTAATTTTACATCATCCTTTCATATATATAATTACTAGTCCCTTCGTCCCAAAATATTAGTCATTTATTCCATTTTTTCATTGTCTCAAAATATTAGTCAATTTTCAAAAATCAAGAACTAAAAGTACTTATAAATTTCCTATTTTATCCTTGTTTTAAATTCATTGATATTAATATATAGAAAAAATATAATTATGACAATTGCACTACCAGAAAAAAGTTTGATTCCCTAAAAAGATAGTTTTGAAAAATTAATATTTTTGAAGTGTAATAATTTTATTACAAAACAAAATTTAATTTCCCAAAAGAGACTAATATTTTGAGACGGTGGGAGTAATTTGTAATAAATTTCATGTCTTAAATATCTTTTACACTCATTTTAATTTTGATATATTTTATTAGAAGTTAAAAATATATATGTGTATTAACTGTAGCGGAGTAGAACGGTTTCGAAAACAGATTATAAATTTTAAATTTTAATCACAATTAACGGATTGAACACTGTAAATTGATGCGATTTTAACAAATTTAACAGTATCGTGCATAATTCTAGATAATGAGCCTGGTCCATTTGTCTAATACCTCCATCTTTATAGAAAGAGCGGATGGAGATGTTGTCGATGATGATGATATTGTGGTGTTCAACTAGATGTGGAGATCCACAAACAAAGGCTATGGTAGTAGAGATAAGTATGGTGAGGCATTCATGTTCCGTTGGTCGAAAAAAAGAGAAAAACAAATATGAAGATTTGCATTTTGTGTTTTTAAGGGAGATATATAATGATTGTGAGACTTTGGCCTTGTTTGGGGTGTACTAATAAGTACACACTTTTTATCTTTTTATCTTTTTTTCATCACATCACCTTTTTACTTTTCTGCACATCTTTTTGTAAAAAGTCAAAAAATACATTTATTTAGATCATTCCAAACCACCTATTTGATTAGAGAAACAAGAGAGAGATCGAAGAGCAAAAATGTGAGATTTTAGTAATTATCATCACGACTCCATCATAAATTTGGTATAGTCATTAGCCTCCGTTTGGCAAGGGCTTTTTCAGGCTTTTTTGACTATTTTAGCCACAAAAAACGAAATAGGCTATTTTAGCCATAACAAACAAAACATCACATCCAACCTATAATCATTACATTCTTCTCTCACAAAAAAAGTCAAAAAAGTCAAAAAGCCAAAAAGCCCTTCCCAAACCAAGCTTTTTAGCCCAGGCTAAAATAGCCAAAAAAGCCAAAAAGCTAAAAAGCCAACCCACTTCCCAAACGGAGGCTAAGTTACAAAAGGCAAGGTAGATCCACAAAATAAAAGATATGGTAGTTGAGATAAAGATGGTAAGACAATGACCGAAAGGAGAGAAAAATGTAGATGAAAATTTGCGTTTTGTGTTTTTAAGTCAATTTTTTTAAAAAAAAAATAGCGAGAATAAAATATAATGATTGTGAGCCTTAGTTAACAAAATAAAACAAAAGACAGATATCAAGCATAAATGTGAGATTATAGTAATTATCATCATGACTCCATCATAAATTTGCTAGGGTCATTAAGACCTATTTTGAAAAATAGATTAAAAGTTAATTTTTTGAATTTTTTAGATTTTTTTTTTTTAAACATGCAAAAAAAAGCAAAGAGGTAAGTTACAAGGGTACCATGCACACTAGACACATAGGCCTTTTTTGAGAAGTATAAAAAAAAATCTATTTATTCACTTTTTAGTTTATTTAAATCAC